ATGACCCAGTACTTCTATTCCTTAGGCATATATCCAAGATAATTGCAAATATGTATCTGTAAGAGGAACATTGAGTAGAAACCTCCAAGACAGTGGGTGATGCTCAAAGTTAACTCAGTGGTACAAGGTGGAGTTTTCCAGATTCTACCCCCTGATGGTCTCAGAGTTGATGGGAAATAGAGATGGGACTGGCGCTTTATCAGTTAAAAGTGGCTGACACTCTCACAGTGAAACCACTGGGGCTTCAACAGTTCAATGACTGGTGCCCAGACAGTTAAGCCACTACGGAGGAGGGATGGTTGCGGAGAAGCCACCAGCTTGCCTCGTATGACTTCAGCTTGGACCCTGTCTCTGCTCAGTGGGTGCTGTCTGGGGTAAGAAGGACAGCACCTGGCCACCTCTCTCCATTTTCTCATTCCCTATGAAAATTAATCCTGTTATTTTTTTCTCCCTGTGTGTCTGCTTTTGAGTCATATCCCTGCAGTTGTAAGTGCACAGGTGAGGACCCACCTGGACCCAATTGGATCACCCTTAGTCCCAGGTTTCACCTGTTTCCTCTCCACACAAAAACTTGTGTATAACAGCATTATTCATAATAGTAAAAAAATAGAAACAACACAAATGTATACGAACTGATTAATGAGTAAACAAAGTATATTGTACAATGGAGTATTATGGAGTCATAAAGAGGAATGAAGTCCTCATACCTGCTACAACATGGATGCAGCTTGAAAACATTATAAGTGAAAGAAACAAGACATACAAGATCATATATTATGTGATTCCATTTATATGAAATGTCCAGAATTAGCAAATCCTGAGAAACTAGGGAGAAAACAAAAGAGGAGTTCTGGAGTGAGATAGTGGTGATGGTTACATAAGCTTGTGAATATACTAAAATCCACTCAAGTGTGAATTTTATGGTATGTGAATTTTGAGGTGTAAAATTAACCAACTTATATTGAGAAGTTCTTTCTGGCTTAAGGGGGGCAGATCAGAGGTTGGGGTGAGAGATACCTTGACAACTGTACTTGTGAAAAAAATCTTCAGGATTTATGCTATAGAGGGTGTGACCCAGACCGTGTTCTAGATATAGTCACTTTTCAACTACAGTGGTGGCAGGAGAGAGTAGAGCTGTGCACTATCCATGGCACTGACCTTGAGGAATTTGGTTTTCTTGTAAACCTCCCTGGGAATTCATTTCCCTTGAGGGCTTTTATCCTTCCTCATCTTCATCCTGTGATCACTGTCCCTGATGTGTATGTATGTCCTCAAGAGTTTCCAAATGATTATATGTGTCTGATGCAAGAGCTCACATACTTTTTAATCACTCCCCTTGCTCTAGCTCTGAACAGCTCCAACCCAGCTTCATCTCATGAATTTAGCCTAAGTTTTGTCTCCCGAGAAATGTCCCTTCCCTTAAGGCCAATTCTATTTGTATTCTTGGTCTAAGAAAGACCAGGAAGATAATGGAGCTATAGAAGAAGGGTGGCCCAGAAGATGGGAGGTTCTAAGTCTGCTTGGCCACTTTGGCCTAGAGGTAGGTGATGGTCCAGGGTCCTTCCCCTGGTCAACCTGAGAAAGCTCCAGCCAAAGCTTTTAAGATCAGCAATGGGTGGAGGGAAGGTCTGGGGAAATCATTCAGCAATAATTCTGGGGGAATGGGATTTGGGGAACAAATATGAAACAACTTTTGTCTTAGCAGCTTATGTGTTGAGTGGAATTCAGGACAGAGGGTAGGAGGGAGAGCAGAATATAGACACAATTGGTTTCTCCCCCACCTCCTACACACATACACAGCTTCTTCCCACACACCAGGTCTTTCTCTAGTACTTCCCACCTTCTAATGTTTCTTTTTTTAATTTTCTTTTCTTTTTCCACCGTCCTCCTCAGCCTGCTGCCTCTCCCACTCACTCCAGGTTTTTAATTCCTTCTTTATTGCTGTACCTCCATCTTCCCTTTTCTTAAATCATGTGTTTAATAAAACCCACTCATAGTCCCAAGATCACCACGCTAGATTTGCTCCGATTTTTGGAACCACATATTCCCTCCTCCTCTCTCAGTCCTGTGTGGACTGACTTCCTAAGAGCAAGACAGATGAGAGACAAGAAAGGGGTCTGGAATCCTTCCCTTACCCCAGCCATATCCATGCCCCCCTCTTATGTCTCTTAACTTTCATTCTGATCCAGAATCCTCCTAAGCCTATTGTAAATGCATATAGGTGGAAACATCAATTCCAAAGATTCTTCTGAGTTTCTGGAAAGAATGCTGGCCATGCCAAGATGATGCTCCCAGGTTTGCCAGTCTGGTGATGCCGGAAATTATGATTCTTAGATTCTCTTCCAGGTTCTTTAAACTGAACTCCTTCATCCAGTGGCTACTCTGTCACCTGCCACAATGGCCTGGCCCATCTCAAAAACTCTACTCACCATCAAACAATCAAGTATTTTGGGGGGAACTAATCATGAAGAATTGCAAACACATATGAGGTGACAGAGTGACAGATCCATCCTTTTGGAAAAATCCCGATACGGGGCAATGTCGTGGAAGAGCAAATCACTCTTGAACCTTGAAGAAGGCGTAGACTTCAGACAGGTGAACAGGATAGGAAGACCATACAAGTGAGGCACTGGCCTAATAAAAGGCACTGAGACTTGAAGGACTAAGGAGATTAGTTTGGTTGAAGCCAGGCATTCTTGGGGGGAGAAAGTTGGAAGATAAGAGTAGGTAGGAGTGTGGACCCTGGGGCTAACTGGACCAGATCAGAGTCCCAGTTCTGCTACTGAATCTCTGTGACCAGAAGCAAATTATTTAATCTCTTTAAGCCTCAGTTTCCTTACTTGTAAAGTGGAGATGATTAATAGTATTTAGTATAATTTATAAGCATGTGAATAATAGATGGATATTAAACAGTAATGCTTATAAAATGCACAGCATAGTAACTAACACATAGGTAATACTTAAGAAATGTTTACTATCACAATGACAGTTACTACTACTACTACTACTACTACTACTACTACTACTTCCACTATTGCTGTTAAGCAGCAGATGAGTCTGGAAAGAAAGGTAGGAACCAGTTTGTGTGGAAGCCCCTGAAAATGTGAATTCTTTACCATAGAAGATAAAGAACCATGGAAAATTTTTGAACTAAATAAAATATATTTTATACAGTTGACATATATAGTGTTGCTGAGTGTCTCTGACTGACAAAGGCATATAAAAGCGTATGATAGTTGTAATCCTAATAGGGATGAAGATAAAAATAGGGGCAATAAAGCTATTCTATTGGTATTTTAACAATCAATGATTAAGTGGGAAGATTGAGGTTGGGCACTGAAGGGATTAAAAGTCATGGGTTTTCTCAGAGAGACCAAAGTAGACCATTTACTCTGCTGCTCATCCAGTCTAGCCTTGACACCGTATGATAGAGCAGAGACTCAATGGCAGAGACAAAAATGTGTTCCTTTCCATTGGGTTTGCTCTGACAGTGCTCCAGGAAGAATCCTCTCCACTCTTGGCTGTCTTGGCTGCCTACTCTACTGTGCTAACTTAAGCCCATTTTAACCCTGTTTTGTCACATAATTTTCCACCAGAGAACTTGCCGGGGTTCTCAATTGCCCCTGTGGATGCTTTTCAAGAGTTTCTATGCTAGGGGTAGGTGAAGCCACAGAATAAATAGAACAAATTTTACACAAGTATTTGAGGATAAAGTCAGTTTTAGATGAAATGAACATGGCAGCATTTTGAGTACTATAGTAGTTCACAGATAATTTTAGAGATAATTCTGTTTTACACTTGTCTACAAGTGTTGACAGGAATCTTTTTACTATACAACCGGAATTTATGTAATCTGTATAGACATTATATATATGATGACTTCACTATTCATTCAACTCCCTTATGAATAGAACATCAGTGCAATTGCTATTGTCCCTTCCCTATGCCAGGTGGGATCAGAAAAAAGTGAACATTCTATGTTCTATTGTCTTTAAAGGGTGGGCCCTCAGTGCAAATTTTCCTGACCAATAGAGAAAACAATTTTGGAAAAGTAGAACTCAAGTGAATGAGTTTTAACATCAAAAACCTCAGTTTCATTCTTAATTGAATGTCTTCTAAAACTTTTATTTACTGAAGAAACAGGTCTCTCCTACCCGCTATGTTATGTGACACTTTAGTTTTACTAAAGTTTTACAAGCCACAATACTAAAGAATGCTAATTTTAAGAAGTCTCTCAAAGAGCATCTAGAACTATGTGAATGATAGAAAATTCACATAAATTTTAAATACAAAACATGAAAATTCAAGGAAATTTTGTGTTTGTCCCAGGCTGCTTTGAGTGCCCCCCACAGAGGTCCCCATAGTAACAAATGTCACTGGAGAAGTATCTCCATGGAAAAGTTTGAGAAGCATTCATTATCCCAGTTTCACTACAGCCAAGATCACCTGCTTGCTTTTCTTCACATTTGCCTCTGAGTTTATGACAATTTCTTCCAATACATAACTCAGTCTCTTCCGTCAACAGGAACCATTTGCCTCAAGATAAACAAACATCTACTTGCTTATGTAAAACTATTAGTCACTACATCCTCTCAAGATGTATGCACCTAGGTCAATGATGTTTGTGGCCACAGATACTCACTGACACACTTATTCATGCATTGATTGATTCAACTAGGTTTCTGGATCCTGGGCTTCACAGGTACTGTGTTTAGATGTAGGTGTGAATCAGACATGAAATCCACAGACAAAGACAGCATGGTCCAAAGGGAAAAGACCCCACGAATGCATGTCAAATAATGCAGGACATGGGTAGAGAGATAAGACTGTGTGACCCTTAAAAAAGTATTTAAACCCTGGGAGGGCCTCCCAAACTTCATCTTGGAATGGTCTCAACATTCAACCTGATCAACTCAATCCTGACCCTCCAAAAGGAAGTGCTTACACTTTCATGATCTTTGTTTTGCATGGTTTCTCCCTAGACACGTGGAGAAGATCCCATGGAACCACATAACATCACACGTGTGTCACAGTTTGTCCTCTTAGGGTTCTCACAGACCCAGGAGCTCCAGAAACTACTATTCCTGGTATTCCTCATTGTCTATGTCACCACCATCATGGGAAACCTCCTTGTCATGGTCACTGTGACTTTTGACTCCCGACTCCACACACCCATGTATTTTCTGCTCCGAAATCTGGCAGTCATAGACCTCTGCTATTCCACGGTCACTTCCCCAAAGATGCTGGTGGACTTCTTTCACGAGCCCAAGATTATCTCCTACCAGGGCTGCATGGCCCAGATCTTCTTCCACCTCTTGGGAGGTGCAACTGTCTTCTTCCTCTTGGTCATGGCCTATGATCACTACATAGCCATCTCCAGGCCCCTCCACTATGTCACCTTCATGAACACTAGGTTGTGTGTGGGACTGGTGGTAGCTGCCTGGGTAGGGGGCTTTGTCCACTCCAAAGTCCAGCTGGCTCTGCTGCTCCCACTGCCATTTTGTGGCCCCAACATCCTGGATAACTTCTACTGTGATGTTCCACAAGTGCTGAGACTCGCCTGCACAGACACCTCTCTCCTGGAGCTCCTCATGATTTCCAACAGTGGCATGCTGGTCCTCATCTGGTTCATACTGCTTCTGCTCTCCTACTCTGTCATCCTGGTGATGCTCAGGGCACACTCAGGGCAGGCCAGGAGGAAGGTGGCTTCCACCTGTACCACCCATATCATCATGGTATCAATGATCTTCATTCCCTGTATTTATATCTACTCCCGGCCCTTCATCCCCCTCCCCATGGGCAAGGCTGTGTCCATCAGCTACACAGTCATGACCCCCATGTTCAACCCCATGATCTACACCCTGAGGAACCAGGAGATGCAGGCAACCGTGAAGAGGCTAGGCAAGAACCTAGTTGTTTGCGGCATGGCGTGAACGCCAAGTAGGTCCACTGTAAATGAAAAATCTTTGTGAATTTTTGTTTTCTCGTGTGAAAAGTGGAGGAATTATCTTTATCATATGTGGATGATTCAGGTTCAACTAATATTTTTGCAAACCAACTCCCATATCAGGTACTGTGTTAAGCATTTTCACACTTCTATCTTTTTCTCATAAATCTGGATATATATTATAAAATTGAATAGTTTTACAAACTATTCAAGCAAACTTAGAGATGAAAAACAAGTGCCAGAGCTTGGAGAGGAAGCTGGCTCCTGACTCTTGCTTACCTAGCAATAACAGCAGGGTAGGGTTGTGAGCATGAAATAAGGGGACAAAAATACCTCCACCCATTTTAAACCAGATTTTTTCACAAGTTGTGTTTCAGCACGCAGGCCCAAAAGAGCGTTCACTGTCCTCGAGGTGACCTCTTATTGCCTAGACTGAAAATAAGCCCTGGAAGATAGCATGAAGATGCCTGGCTCGTTGTCAAATGGACATGCAGACACGAGGGGTGCTTGTTTTTATTGCACTGGTGGACCCAGATTCAAGTCACACCAGGATCCAGCAGAAAGCAATCAATCAACTCTACCAACTTGCATTATTTATTTATTTATGTATTAAAAAGATTTATTTATTTATGCATACAAGAACTGGGGTACAGGCCAGAAGTGTGATGGGTGAGAGGATTCACCAGAGACACAGAGGGGAGCAGAACAGGCAGATCTAGAGAAATACAGTGCTGGGGGGGAGCAGCAGGCAAGACAGGAGAGGTCTACAGTGCCATGCGGGTAGCTCCCTGGCCAGGGATTGAACTCGTGCTGCAGTGGCTGCAGATAGCTTCATAATGCTTCATCTTAACCCCTTGTGACACTAGGGAGGCCCCAACTTGCCATTTTTAAATGATGTCAACTCAACTCCCCAAATCAATGTAGCCCCTTCCCCTATGTATGGGGTTGTGCAGGGGTGGGAGGTGGTGCGGGTGCAGATTTTAAGGGTTTTTTTTCCATGTCTCCTTTTTTGTCCATCTGCAATAAACTTTCCCTGCTCCAATGCCAGTGTTTCAGCATTCTGGGTTAGCTGCATATTATATACACAAACCTGAGTTAGTAAGTTTGGTATCAATTTGGTTATTCGAGGACTTCTGCAGAGTCAAAGAAATTTTGGGTAGGAGTGTTACAGGGCAGGGAGCGGGGCAGCCCAGACCCCGCAAATCTGCCTGCTTAAAATAGGTTCTGCCATCTACTGCATCGACAAAAAACACGAGACTTTAATGAAAAGGAACTTTAATACAATTAGTATACAATATAGGAAAGGCAAAGAATCTAGTTTCTAAATCAAGCACCCAAAGTTACCCGTTCCCTCGTGGGTAAAACTCCATCCAAATGGGGTTGGCCCAGAGCAAGGCCCCAAAGCCTGCCACAAGTCTAAAGCATCTTCCAGTGGGGACCCACAGAAAAGGATTAGAAACAACCAGACAAGTCTGGGAGGAAAAGAGCAAAATCAAAATTGAGACAAAAACCACCATTGTCACCTCCCCACGGGTCTCTCACCCACATCTGTTTCAACCAGACCACGACCAAAAGGCAAGCGCAGTTTCTTCACATGTCTCTCGGCTCCATGTGCCTCCTCCAGGTCTCCTTCTGGCTCCATCCTGCTTCCTCCCTTCCTCAGTCTCCTCTGCAGCTGCTTCTCCTCCCTGCTCAGCTCCACCCTTCTTTTGGGTGGGGCAGGGAACCTGGAACCTCCCCTTTTCCTGGGGACCACCCTGTTACAGGAGTACAGTTAATACATCTATCTGATGCTATCTATGCATGGAGGAAAATAAAGAGGGCTGTCCAAATTTACTCTGTTTATGCAGAGACTTATCTTCTGGGAACTGGTAGTTTAGTTTCAGCATTGCCAGAAACCCGTAAGTCCATCTTTTTTTGAGGTTACTGATTTGCCTGGAGGCAGCAGTCAGGCAGCTTCCCTGTGAATGCAGCTTCTTCACGGGACCCTGTAAGCTGGGTTCTGACTCTCGGTTTATGCCCCTTGGTTGAGCCCAAGGAGAGGGGTAACTTTTTTTTTTTTTTAAGATTTATTTATTTATGTATACAAGAGCTGGGGTGCAGGCCAAAGGTGTGGGGGGGCGGGTGAGAGGATTCACCAGAGACAGAGCGGGGAACAGAACAGGCAGGTTGACCGAAGTATGCCGCGGACCAGCACAGCAGTAGACGATGAGGCCACCTCAGGGTTGAGAGAAGCGTGCAGGGTGGTCAGGGCGTCGGCGAAAGAAATGACAAACAGACACACTTCAAGAGTGAAAATCTGAGTGTAATTTTCTTTGAGTTTGTGACCAGTATATATATGTTTTCCAAAAGCACAGGAATGAATATCAAAGAAATTAGCTTGCTCCTGGGCTCAGTCTATCACCATCAGGGAGGTGATCTACATAACAAACAATGACCATTATAGAAGAAAGGAGGAAGTTTAGAAAGACAGATAAGGGATTAAAGTTTGTAGTTTTAGAAAGACGGGGAAAAGATTTTTAGCATTCTTGTAGTGGTTCTTGGTGGTCATTATCTTTTGATAAGCTTCTGCCTTTTCAGGGAACTTCCACTGCACTTCCTCTGCTTCAGGCTGTTCCCCCCCCCCCCCCCCCCCCCCCCCCCCCCGCGCGCTGGTTGCCCAGCCGGATCTAGGGACCGTGGCGAAAGCCATTCCTAAAGATCACTGCGGGGGGAGGTGCAGCAGGTAGGGTTTTGCTGTTCTTCCCCTGCGCGCTGGTTGCCCAGCCGGACCTAGGGCCGGTTAGCCCTAAAGGTCACTGCAGGGGGAGGTGCAGCAGAAGTACACTGCTGAAGGGAGCAGCAGATGAATCAGGAGAGGTCTGCTGTACCATGTGGGTTGCTCCCTGGCCTGCGGGGATCGAACTTGTTCTTCGGAGGCTGCGGACAGTTTCATAGGTTGCGTCTTGACCCCTTGCGCCATCAGGGAAGACCCAAAGGGTAATTTCTTAATTGATTTTAGTTAACAGTTGTAGCAATAGTTACGTTTGACAATTTTTTTAATTAAAAACATTTTATTGAAGTAACATTGGTTTGCAAACACTTTCTAAGTTTTAGGTGTGCAGCATTATAATTCAACATTGGTGTATATTACACCACAATTGTAACAGGGTGGTGCCCACAAAAAGGGGAAGTTCCAGGTTCCCTGCCCCACCCAAGGGAGGGTGGAGCTGAGCCAGGGAGGGGAAGAAGCTGGAGAGGAGACTGGAGAAGGAAAGAAGCAGAATGGAGAGCCAGAAGGAGATCTGGAGGAGGCACATGGAGCAGAGACATGTGAAGAAACTGCGCTTGCTTCTTGGTCCTGGGCTGGGTGAAACAGATGTGGGTGAGAGACCCTTGGGGAGGTTGACAATGGCAGGTTTGTTTATTTGTTTTTTAAAGGTTTATTTATTTATGCATACAAGAACTGGGGTTCAGGTCAGAGGTGCAGTGGGCGAGAGTCTTCACCAGAGACAGAGTGGGGAACAGAACAGGCAGATTGACTGAAACACACTGCTGAGGGGAGCAGCGGGGGAGTCAGGAGAGGTCTGCTGTGCCATGTGGATCACCTCTCTGGCTGGGGGTCCAACTCATGCTGCAGTGGCTGTGGATAGCTTCATAGTGCTGATGCTTAACCCCTTGTGCCACTAGGGAGGCCCAACAATGGCAGTTCTTATCTAGATTTTGATTTTGCTCTTTTCCTCCCAGACATGTCTATTTCTGACCATTTTCCATGGATCCCCACTGGAAGGTGCTTTAGACTTTTGGCAGTTTTTTGGGCCTTGCTCAGGGCCAATCCCATTTGGCTGGATCTTTACCCAGGAGGGGATGGGTAACTTCAGGTGCTTAATTTAGAAACTATATTCTTTGTCTTTTTTGTACTGTTTACTAATTGTATGAAAGTTCCTTTTGTTATAGGACAGGGAGAGGGGCAGCCCAAGCCCCGCAAACCTGCCTATTCTACATGGGTTCTGCCATCCGCCGCATCAACACAAAACATATGAGACTTTAATGGGAAGGAACTTTAATAAAAACTAGGAAACAATACAGGTGAGGCAAAGAGTCTAGTTTCTAAATGAAGCACCCAAAGTTACCCATCCCCTCGTGGGTAAAAGTCCATCCATATGGGAATGGCGCAGAGCAAAGCCCCAAAGCCTGCTAAAAGTCTAAAGCATCTTCCAGTGGGGACCCACAGAAATGGGTCACAAACAACCAGACAAGCCCGGAAGGAAAAGAGCAAAATCAACATCAAGATAAAAGCTGCCATTGTCACCTCCCCACGGGTCTCACCCACATCTGTGTCACCTAGTCCATGACCAAAAGACAAGCACAGTTTCTTCACGTGTCTCTAGGCTCCATGTGCCTCCTCCAGGTCTCCTTGCTCCATCCTGCTTCCTTCCTTAGTCTCTTCTCCAGCTTCTCCTCTTCCTGCTCAGCTCCACCCTCCCTTGGGTGGGGCAGGGAACCTGGAACCTCCCCCTTTCCTGGGGACCACCCTGTTACACTTTCCCTTGAAGGTGTTGTGTGTTTTGTCTTGATGCTGCAGATGCAAGAACCTATTTACAGCATGCAGGTTTGGGGGTTCTGGAGTGCCCCTCTCCCTGCCCTGTAACACAATCAACACCAGCACCTAGTTCCATTCCTCCATCAGACAATGGACCCCTTTACCTGTTTCACCTACTCCCAGCCCTCTTCTGCTTTCCAGCAATCTGTTCTCTGTATCTAAGAGTTTTGTTATGATTGTTCACTTGCTTTCTTTTTTTATATTCCACATTATAAGTGAGGTTATACAGTGTTTGACTTTCTCCATCTGACTTAGTTCACTGAGCTAATACCCTCTGTAGGGTAAGGTAAAATATATCAGGCTTTTCTGCCCTCCCGCCATCAGGATAGATGACGGAACCCTGCGGTCCTGAATGCATGCCTGATGGAGGGCACCTGGAGTAGGGTGTGGGCATAGGTTGATGGGATTCACCTGGGCTGAGACTGGGCTTTTAAGGGTGGCATCACGGGGACACCAGTAGAAGCCGAAAGAGAAGCCAAGAAAGAAGCAGCAGAAGCCGAGAGAGAAGCAGAGAAGGCCGGAGAGCCCGGATAGAGTGAAGACTTGCTGGGGGTTGGGAGGCCTGCCAGCCTCTCGGCCCCCCAGCACTCCTGCCTGCCATATGCCTGGTGAACCCAAATAAAAGACCTGCAAAAGCCACTAAGGACTCTGACTCCTCTGCCCAGTCTGCTGGATCATAGAAAACCTGCACCGTGTCTATTCCTGCCCCTATACCTTCCATCCACCTTCTTGCAAATGGCAAGAGTTCCTCTTTTTTTGTTATAGCTGGCTAGCATTCCTTTGTATTCAGATATACCATATGTTCCTTATCCATTAATCCATCCATCAGTGATTTAAGTTGTTTCCAATTTTGGGCTATGGAAAATAATGCTTAATGAACACAGTGGTTCAGTATGTGGTCCTTGGAACAAGAGCATTGTCATTGTCTGGGAACTAGTTAAGAATGCAAATTCTTGGCCTTACCATTACCAACTCAATGAGAAAGGCCGGTGCTGAGGCAGCTAACCTTTTTAAAAGAAGCCCTCCAGGTGATTCTCTCAAGGGTAAAGGTCACTGGTCTAAGAAATGGCTTCTTCTAAAACTCCCAGGGAATCTGTTTCTCTTGAAGAGACTCTTATTCTTTTGTTAGGGGGAAAGGATGTTCTGAGCTAATTCCATACAGGCTTTGTGGACCCCACCCCCACTCCAGGCCGAAGCCATCAAGACATTGGGAAAGACAAATCCCGTCACTACCAAAGGGAAGGTTGCTGGGACCTGAGGGTGGAGTTAAGCAGCCAGGTTTGGTATAAAAACCAAACACGTGGGCCTTGTGGTCTCTCTCTTGCTTGCCTCTTGGGTTCAAGGTTGGTGGCTGGCGGCCAGATCTGAGTGCCATTTGGGATTCTAGATCGGCGAATCAGGTAGGAAACATTTAAAACTTTATCTCCCACTTTTCTCCCTGAGTTGTACATTTCCTCATTTTCCCTTCCATTGTAAATAAACCCTTTATTAACCTTTCGCGTGTGCCTGCAGTAGAGTATTAATAAGTCCTTTTAAGCACGCGGATGAGGACCCACAGTCAGGCAACCCATTTTGTATCGGGGCTGCCCTGTAACACTTTTGGATCTTGATCTGAGAATCTCACACTTTACAAATCTCTCAAATTCTCATTGTCCTTGGTAAATTTGGCCCCCAAGGAGGACCTTCAAAGAAGATATGTTTTTTGAGATTGAGAAACTTTTTAACAAATCCCATTGCTCTCAGGCCCCCAGTGGTAATCAGCCCAGCTCTGCTTCCTGAGCCCAGACCCATAGTTTCTCCCTAAGGATAACCCTGGTCCCCTAGGGTCATACTAACTGAGTTTACGTCGTGTGTGGGCAGCGGCCAGGAAAATGTAGTTGCCCGAAAAGGATCTCCAAGAAGATGTAAGACCTGAAACTCCTTCCTCTATGGGCTAGAGGGAAGTGAGAGCTCGGGGTTTCCTTGTCTGCAGATAGATCAACTGTAAGAAGGATCCAGAAACATTTGCCAGAAGGTGGAAAGAGTAAACAAGTGACACAGGTTTGATGGTAGTTAAGTCTAGAATGTGCAGAGCAGGGGGAAGGTGATGTTGAAAGAAGAGGCCTTGGGTTGCATTGGAAACCCAGGCTTTTAACAACCAAATGAAGAATTGGACCTTTGGTTTAGAGGGAATATGCTGAGAGCAAAGGATTAGCAAATACACTGTAAAATTCTCCACATAATCACATAAAAGAAGCTCATACAATTGCTTATTAATAGTAAGCATTTTTTTAATTTTAGCAACTGCTAAATCAGAGTTGCTGTTAAATGCGCTGAAGCTACTAAGTTATTGAATTTATGATCTAGTTAATAGGGACTACTGAAAAATGATAAATGCTGTAACAGAGGCACTTAAAAAATGCTATTGGAATCCAGAAAAATGATAGGTTAATTCTGCATGGGAGAAATGGCTAAGGAGTCACTAAGAAGTGAGATTTGAGTACTTTTAGGCTGAGAAGGTCATGAAAGGTATTTCAGGAAACAGAATTTATTACCAAAGCTACAGAAATAACTGGACATAAAACATGGTAGATGTGAGAAGGTTTAAATTCCTTGAGTAGCTGTCAGATCCTGAGTGTGGAGATACTAATTAGGATGGTAGGTGGAGGCTACATTTTGCAGTTTTTATGACATGTTAAGAAGGAGTTGCATCTACATATGTAAGAATGTTCTTCTGCCTGAATTGATTCACAAAGCATAGTAGGTAGCTTCTAAGAGTGTGAGAGTTTTAAGCTGAGGACACTAGATAATCATTAAATGAGTTTAGTAAGGGAGAAAAATGACCAGATTAGAAAGGTCTCATTGAAAGTTGGATAGAAGAGGGACAGGAATGGAAGCAGAAGGATGAGATTAAAATGATCTTTAATAGATAATAGACTGCAGTAGGTCTGGTGAGAAAAGATAAGAGGTTGAGACAAGCAGGGGAGTGGGGAGGTGACATCACCCCTAACCCTGATACCCTGTGTCTCCCTCTCCACCTCCGGTTCCCTTCTCTCCTCAATTCCACCACCTTTCCATTCCCTTCCTTCGCTCACTCTATTCCTTCATCTCTCTGCCTCTTAATCTTTTTCTTTATTCCTTTGTCTATTATATTTCTCTTATTTCAGTATTTTCCTTTCTGTTCTGCCCTTGTATTTGGTAACATCTAAGTCTTGTTCTTTGCAGAAGAGCTCTGAGTCCTCTTCATTCAACAGTCTATTCCTTCATCCACAGATTCTCTCTGTCCTTCTCTGCCATGTCTCAGCACATACAACACCTGGGTCCAATCCTCAGTCAGTAAGGGGGCCTCTGGATCTGCAAGGGCTGGGGGACACACTCTATAGCTATTTACCTGCACAACAGTCAACACTACATGTTTTTTCAGTACTGACTATGAGCATGGATGGGCACTGCTGGGTGCAAAAATATTATAAGATTCAGATCTATGCTTTTGGGAGCTTAAAGTTGAATAATGGAAGAAAAACAGATGTGAAAATCTGTTAAACTTATAATGTGTTCATTGTGCATGAAGAATGATTGGTAAAAGGGCCTCCCCTGGTGGCGCAGCGGTTGAGCGCTGGGTTGCAAGGCTGCCCGCAACCTCTGCAGCGCTAGTTCGATCCCTGGCCACTGGCGAGGGTCCCACAAAAAAAAAAAAAAAAAAAGAATGATTGGTAAAAAACATTTATTTGAGACTGAGAGGGAGGATGTCTTTAGACACAGAAGAGAGTGAAAACCAGTTATATTGTAGGCACTGTTCGAGGAAGTTTACAAGTATCATTATACTTATGACCTCAGAAAATATTATAAAGAAAATACTTTTAGTCCCAGCTCATTGATGTGAAAACTGAGACCCAAAGAGATCAAGTAATGTATTCTAGTTCTGATCTCAAGAAAATGGAAAAACTGAAATTTGACTTGGGTCTCTTGGATTCTCAGTATTTTCCCAACACTACACAGTATTCCATTGACTATTGTTATGATCATTACTGGTTTACAACACTGTATGTGATTTAGGGGAAACAGGTTCACATATCCTCAGATGTCTGTCACCACACTCACCACCAAAGAACCCATAGTCTTTTACCACAGACCATTGGGCCCCCCTTCTCCCTTTGTCTCCACCCCAACTTTCTCCCCTGCTCTAGAAGCCTCAATTGAGCAGCCATAGCTAGGGTTCAATTTGGTTTAGTTTTGTACACTGACACTTTGAAAGGCAGGCTGCTTATGTCTCTGGGTGACATTAAGGTAGCTCGTGAGTGTAATTCCCCAGACAGAAGGCCACTGAATCAGCAGCTTTGCCATGGACCACACATGAGGTGTCCACCCTATGCACTGAGACAATTCAGTTCTGAGGTTCTGAGTTCTAGAAGGGCTAGTAGTGGCTTTATGTATCTATGTCTGTGGTTCGTTTTCTTTAGGTGTATGGAGAGGATGCTATGGAGCCAGGGAACCTCACCTGGGTATCAGAGTTTATCTTCCTGGGTCTCTCACAGACTCCAGAGCTCCAGGTTTTCCTGTTAGTGGTGTTCCTGTTTGTCTACACCACCACTGTGGTGGGAAATCTCCTAATAGTGATCACAGTGACCTTGGACTCTAAGCTCCAGACGCCCATGTACTTTTTGCTGAGAAACCTGGCTCTCTTAGACTTCTGTTTCTCCTCAGTCACTGCCCCAAAAATGCTGGTGGACTTCCTCTCTGAGAAGAAGACAATCTCCTACGAGGGCTGCATGACCCAGATCTTTTTCTTCCACTTTCTAGGAGGTGCCATGGTCATCTTCCTCTCAGTGATGGCTTATGACCGCCTGGTCGCCATCTCCCGGCCCCTCCACTATGTCACCATCATGAACACTCAGCTCTGTGTGGGGCTGGTGGCGACAGCCTGGGTTGTGGGTTTCCTCCACTCCATCAGCCAAATGGCGCTGCTGCTCTCACTGCCATTTTGTGGCCCCAACATCCTGGATAACTTCTACTGTGATGTTCCACAAGTGCTGAAACTTGCCTGCACAGACACTTCCATCCTGGAGTTCCTCATGATCTGCAACAGTGGCATGCTGGATGTCATCTGGTTCTTCCTCCTTCTGGTCTCCTACTCCGTCATCCTGGTGATGCTCAGGGCACACTCAGAGCAGGCCAGGAGGAAGGCGGCTTCCACCTGTACCACCCACATCATCGTGGTGTCGTTGATGTTCATCCCAAGCATTTACCTCTATGCCCGGCCTTTTGTCTCCTTCTCCATGGACAAGGCTGTGTCCCTCTGCCACACAGTCATGACCCCCATGCTCAACCCCATGATCTACACCCTGCGGAACCAGGAGATGCAGGCGGCACTGAAGAGGCTAGGGAGGCGCCGGCTGGTTTGTAGAAGTGAGTGACACGGGTATGTTCCTGCCTTTCGGCTATTTCCCATCTGTCAAGGGAAGAGAGAGTCGCTGTATCTGGTCACCTCCTGTCTTAGTTACATTCTGTGCGGGTTGTTATAGAAGTGAGTGTTTTTTTTTTAAGATTTATTTGTTTATGCATACAAGAACTGGGGTACAGGCCAGAGGTGCAGGGGCTGAGAGGATTCTCCAGAGTGGGGAACAGAACAGGCAGATTGACTGAAATACACTGCTGAGGGGAGCAGCAGGTGAGTCAGGAGAGGTCTGCTGCACCTAGTGGGTAGCTCGATGGCCGGGGATGAAACTCATGCTGCAGTGGCTGGGGATAGCTTCATAGGTTGCGTCTTAACCCCTTGCGCCACCAGGGAGGCCCATGAGTATGTTTTGAAATGAAGCAACTTACTCAGATTTTAAGGAAAAGAGAAAATATCCTTATTTTTGTTTATAATGGATAAATGGAACAATAAGCTATGCTCTCATGGCCCCTCGAAAGCTACCTCCTGTTTTCTGCGTTTTTGATGGGCAGTTTCCCGGTATGATGACAGCATCATAAAGGTGGTCCATTTTTATGATTTTGACCTCTTTTCAGAATACCCTGTTTTGGTGTGAGTCTGGGTGTTTGAAAACAGCACCAGATGCAGAGTGTGAGCCTGAAATTAGAGGCACTGACCCATCACCTACTAGACTGATGGCCTTAGATGGGGCAGCGGCTCCTCTTGGCCTCAGGGCTTCTTCCTCAACAAACTTACTTAGTATCTGACCCTCAAGCCTCCAAGATTTATATTCAGAATCAAATTTTTAAAAATTGTGTGAGAAAGCATCGGGTAAACAACAGAACTAAATTTTTTTCCTGTTAGTCTTTTGGATAATTTTCAAATTTGAAATTAATCATTTTTTCTCTTTATGTTTTCAAGGTCATATAATGGTTACAAAAATTATGTGTGAAACACATGTAAGTTATAAAATTTATATTAATATGTTTGAATACTCAATTCAAGAACCAGAAGTTACCAATAACTTATCCTTTCCATGGGGTTCTTTCCATCACGTTCATACTCAAATGAAACCTCCCCGAATGAAACCACATCCTTGGATTTTGTATTTATTACTCCATTACTTGTAAAAGCAGTTTTATCACATTTTACATGTTCAGTATGTTATTTGGTTTGTTTTTTGAGCTTATAAAATACACTGTACATACATTCTAAGATTTGTTTTTATTTACTCAGTATGTTTCTAAGCTCCACATTTTTTCCTGTTCCACTATACTTTATTCATTTGCACTGCTGTAAATTTCCACTGGGAGAATAAGCTTGGGTTGTATCTATTTTCTTACTACAATTGCAACTGTGTTATTTTGAATATTCTCTCCTTGCCTCCAGTTGTTATGTTGAGGCGCTATGGGTTATATACCCTGAAGTGGAACTGCTAAGTCTTGAGATCTTTAAAGATTTAACTTTACAGGGCCTCCCTGGTGGTACAGGGGTTAAAGACACAGCACTATCAAGCTGTTGCCAGCTACTGCAGCAGAAGTTTGATTCTCCACTGGCCAGGGAGCTAACCCACAAGGCACAGCAGACTTCTCCTGTCTCCCCTACTGCTCCCCTCAGCAGTGTATTTCAGTCAATCTGCCTGTTCTGCTCCCCACTCTGTCTCTGGTGAATCCTCTGCTTTTGCAGAGAAGATAAACAGATGACCAACAGATATGTAAAAGGATGGTTATCATCATGTCTTATTAAGGAAATGAAGATAAAAACAACAATGAGGTATTATTTCATGCCTGTGAGAATAGCTGACATCAGAAAGACAACAGGTTTTGTTGAGGATGAAGAGTAAGAAGCATCCTTTACCCTGGTGGTGGGAATGTAAATTGGGTCAGCCATTTTGGAAAATGGTATGCCCTTCCTTAAAAATTAAATAAGTTTTGAAGGGGGCGGAGCAACATGGCGGCGAGGAGACGCTGCGAGTAAGATCTCCCATTAAAAAAAGTGAATAGGGAGGAAAAGCGGCAGGTCCCAGTGAGAACTGGGACACGGAAGATAAACGGGTGACGCCAGCGAACTGCCCGAAGAAGAAAGTGGCCATAAAAGAGGACTAGAAGGGAGGGAAGCGCAGAACCCTGCTCCCCTCCCCCGCCCACAGAGGCGGCACTCTCCGACCGGCAGAGAGGAGGAAACAACAAACAACAAACCAAAACGGCCCACAAGAACAAACGACGCAGCAAGCGGGACTGTGCGTGGAAAGGAACTATTGCAGCCACCACACCCCGTGAACGGGAGCTGAGGCGAACCCTGCAGGATCCGCCGCGGCGGTGAGCGAACGGCTCCGGGCGCCATTAGAGAAGAACAAAGACCCCGGGAGACGCGCACACAGCCCGGGCTGCCGGTAAGCTGGCGTGGAAACGCGGCGTGCTCGGCGCGCTTGAAAAGCAAGTGCAGACCTGGATCGCGGCTGCCCAGGTCCCCGCGCCTGCGACCTAGGCTTGCGGGGAGACGACCTAGGCTTGTGGGGAGACGCGCGGAGGTCCTCACTGAGGTGAAGGTCCCTCCCTGAGTGAGCAGGAACCAGGCGCCCAGGCACGGGAGCTGCGCAAAAGGCGCCCTTCCCGCGCCACTGAACTGGGCTACAGCCCGCGTCCTGGAACTGAGGGCTTTGAACTGAGACCCTGGGCACGAAAATTCGGGGCGTGGTTTCTCCACGACGGTGGGGCACAAGGCAGACACAGCACCCCAAAGCTGTTGAGGTGTACCCTACCATTCCCGCTCTGTTCTCTGTCCCACGGGGTGGGAGAGGCGAAAAACAGCCCCCCAAGGACAATAGGAGAGATCTCTGGCGCCACCTAGCGACCAGGAGAAAAAAAAAGTCACTAACACCCTATAAAACAGGACATTTCTTAAGACTGCTTGAAAAGGGCAGAAGGTTTCTGGAGGACCCAGTGGCCAGCCGGGAAGTTATTCCACGCCAGGCCCCTTCCGACCAGCAGTCTGAGCCCACAGAGGGAGCAGGCACCCATGTCCGGGGCAGACCGGGTGCGCAGAAGAGTGTGCCTGAAACCGGAGGCTCAGGGACTGCATCCCGCTTCGCCATTTGAGAACAGGGACATTTCTTCAGTAAAAACTGCCTAACACCAGCAGAAAGCTCCCCCAGAAGACAGAGATGGCTCCTGGAAGAGCCAGAGGGGAGCGGAGAAGTTCACCCAAGATGTCAGTCAGTCCGAGCATCACAGTGTCCCAACGCATACGACAAATTAGAAAACAGACAGTAGGGAGTAGAAGAACCACACGCAACCTAAAAACTCCTCAGGAAAGAAGCACACCACAAAAAGAAAACCACTCCCCAGATTGCAACGACAGCAACTTGGAAGAACTTCTGAGCCTTCCAGAAAGAGAATTTAAAATTGCCATGATTAAAAAAGTGATAGATCAGAAGAAGGAAATTGAGTCCCTAAAGAGGGAAGTAAGAGAAATGCAGGAGATCAAAGAATTAATGGAGGAACTAAAGAACTCTGGGAAAAGCAATGAAAGCAGAATAGATGAAATGGAAGAACGAATAAGTAATCTTGAAGACACAGAAATAAAAAGAACCAAACAGAAAAGGAAAGAGAAGTACGAAGGAAAAAGAATGAAGAAAGACTTCGCGAACTATCTGACTCCATGAGGAAAGGAAATATAAGAGTTATAGGAATTCCAGAAGGAGAGGAGAGAGATGTAGGAACAGAGAAAATATTCATGGATATAATTGAAGAGAACTTCCCAAATGAGAAGAAGGAGCTGAAAATTGATATACAAGAAGCAAGAAGAACACCAAACTTCCACGACGAAAGGAAAAACACAGCAAGACACATAATAGTAAAGCTCCCAAGAATCCAGGACAAGGAAAAAATAATGAAGCTGACAAGAGGGAAGAAACAGATAACATTCAAAGGAAAACCAATCAGGCTGACATCAGACTTCTCTGAAGAAACACTACGGGCAAGGAGAGAGTGGAGGGACATAGTCAACAGACTCCAAGAAAACAGATGCCAACCAAGAATACTCTATCCCGCAAAGCTCTCTTTCCTCCATGAAGAAAGAATATGGACCTTCCCAGACAAAGAGAAACTCCGGAATTTCATTGCGACTAAACCCCCACTCCAAAAAATACTACAAGGAATCCTAAAGCCAGAACCTCAGAGGGACGAATAACAACGAAAGAAGACAAAAAAAAAAAAAAAGGTTATTAAAAGAATAAATAAATAAAATCAAAGGAAAGACAAACATAATGGCAAATACAGATGCTAACATATCAATATTAACTCTAAATGTAAATGGACTAAACTCTTCAATAAAAAGACACAGAGTTGCAGCCTGGATTAAGAAACAAAACCCAACCTTTTGCTGTCTCCAGGAAACACATTTAGCTACAAAAGATAAAAATAGGCTCAAAGTCAAAGGATGGAAAACAATCCTACAAGCAAATGGGCCAAAAAAGAAAGCAGGAACAGCTATACTTATATCAGATAAAACAGACTTCAAACTCAAAAAAATAAAAAGAGACCCCAATGGTCACTACATTATGATTAAGGGGACAATACTTCAAGAAGAAATAACACTCATTAACATATACTCACCAAACGAAAGAGCACCAAAATATATCAGACAACTGTTGTCCTCTCTGAAAACAGACATCAGAGAAAACACATATGTAGTGGGAGACTTCAACACACCACTATCAACAATGGATAGATCAACAAGACAAAAAATAAGTAAAGAAACTAAAGCTCTAAATAAGGACCTAGAGCATTTGGGCTTAACAGACATCTATAGAACACTAAACCCAAAAAAAACGGAGTACACATTTTTCTCAAGCGCACACGGATCATTCTCCAGGATCGATCACATACTGGGGCACAAGACAAACATCAACAGATACACCAAGATTGAAATCATACCAACCATCTTTTCTGACCACGAAGGCATCAAACTAGAAATAAATCATAAAAAGAAG